CTTTGGGGAGATGCGATTTTAGGAGCTGGTGGGAAGTGGTGCAGGAGAATTTAATAAATAACGATGCGAACTGGGGTAGCCGGTGCGACCATGCGTTTTGCATACTTCTGGCCAGCGGACGTTGCTGTTAAGAATTTCCGCTACTTTCACGCCGATGCGCGCAAAAATAGTCGATACGTTGTCTGTCTCCTAAGCTGCAAAATCTCCTGCCGAAAATTTCACATACCAGTATGTGGGAAATAAGCGCACGTGAAAACTAAATTTGAAACCTTTTTGTTGCATACGGTCAGAAAAAATTCTTCCAAAGTTTCAACTTCCTGGCTTTTCTGTTTCCAAAGCTAGTGATTTTCGCTTCAGATCTTTCGTCTGTGCGTACCTGATGCCTAGGCGTACATGGAAAGCTGAATACATACATACACAAACACACACATACAAACATACATACGAACAGAGGCATGATGGTATGTGTTTTGTGAACTGTCCCAGTACAAAAAGCATAACAAGAGATGCTTGGGTGCTTCTCCCTTCTCTTTTTTCCAAATTCGGAATATTACTTGTGCTACATACATCAACATTACCGTTGATCTGCCTTCTCCTAACTGGTAACGCATCTCATCGTGATTTACGTGTAAAAACATTCAAGACGATTTGTTGTTGCTCAGCATGCAGCATTAGCATCTCGAAATGATTAAAGTCATGTGAAGCGTTTCTGGAAATCATTGAGTTTGCGGTCCTTTCAAGAGACCAAGCCAATATCAGGGTGCCGGACGAGCTAACCAACAAGCAGGTTTTGTAGAATTGTTCAAAACAGTTCAGTGTCAGCTGCATAGGTAATGAACCAGATTATGAAATGGGTCAGTTATCAGACTAATCTAACTTCAGGAAGCTATCAGAGGTTCATCGGGCTGCGCTTTCGCCCACTTACCAGCATCATTTGGTAAAAGCCAAGGATTGTATTGTGCACAATCAAAAGTCTGTTTTCTTTTACTTTCAAACAATGAGAAATTTGAAATTTCAGAAGAAGAGAATTTAAAATCTTCAATAGCACAAATGTCAGCTCCAGAAATGAAAACCTCTTCCGTGTTTACTTTGCGTGACGTACCGGGAAGTAGTTCGAGTGGCAGCAAGGGCCAATAGCAGGCACTCGCTGACAAGGCTGTGGACGGTTTCCGCTTTCGAAGTTTGCTTGGAAGCAATCTGTTGACGAGTTTAATTTCTGGCCTGTGGTAGTTTTTCAGTAAAATGAATGAAAGAATCGTAAAGAGATTGGTTCCCCCTGAATTTTCGACCTTGAAAATGTCACTTGCATGAAATTATGAACAAAATGACAACGAAGACCTACGCAGATTTTATCTACGTATCACCTTCTGCTTATAGCGGATGTAGAGTTCTTCTGGGGCTCTTTTGCAGAATTTTGAAAGAAATTTTGGATTATGGGGTACGTATGCTCGGCGATGATCTTGCGCTACGTACAGCTGCGCAAATGACGCAACTAAGGCCGTCCACCGACCACTACATGTCGAAAGTGAAGAGTACATTGAAGCAGATCATGAGGGATTGGAGTAAAGAAGGTATTTTCTAGCTCTTTAGAGGGATTTTTGTCAACATTATCATAGTTTATGCCTGTACTGCTTCCTTCGTATTTTCGTTTTCCTCTCATTACGCGTTTTTGCACACTTGTGCAAATGCGAAAACGCATATTGTCGAGAGGCTGTCGTTGTGTGTATATGTATGCGTATGTGTGTGTGTATGTGTGTGTGTATGTGTGTGTGTGTGTGTGTGTGTGTATTCGCACTTCTGTCACTCATTATGCGTTTTTGCCGTGCAGCGCTAGAGCGCTGCAACAGGCAGCAAAAACGCATATTGC